ATCACTCGCCGCAGGTCTATACGTGGCGAGTGATTAGATAGCAGAGAGAGCGTAGTGTTGAAGAGGGCACAGCGATGAGAGTCGCATCAATGCTCAAATCAACGGGCAAGGAAGGGGTCCCATTTCTCGAGCCGTTCCAGATGACCTGCTCCACTGACCACCTCTACCCTTATTCCCAATGAGGTAACATTTCAACGTAAATTCTGCCTTTAACCTCACCGTACATGGTTTTATCGACTTAATCGTACAGGGAACAGTGATAAAAGAAGAACTAGACTCACCGAGATTCGTGCGAGACATTTCGATTGCTGTATCGTCGGCAACAGTCCTTGTCTCTAACCTGAAATAACAAGCCTTCACCTTTTTCAACCGCGAAGAAAATTCAGAAAAAAAAACGTTCTGATTATTCGCGAAGATATTCGGAAGTGAGTATACATGACAATACAAACGAGAAAGAGGAAGAACGCGGTCAAAGAAAGCACATGAACTGCATGAGGAAAATCATCTGCTGGTATATCGATGCACTGGGAGCGAGACAATAGAACTGATTTGGTCAGCTGCGAGCGCCACGGAGTTCACCTCGATTTTGAATGATTGCTCAGCCCTAGGCGTACCCGCTATACAAGTGAATTGCAGCCTGGACAGTAGCCTATTATAAATACGGCTAGCAATTTCATGAGCCCTCACTGAAAGCTAAAAGGGTCACGTATTATGGAAATGGACCACAATCAGCCTCGATAAGACCTCTCACCGGCTTCACCTAGTGAGCTGGACCACAACATTCCATAACTCAGTACCACCGAACAAGCCTTTCTGAAAACCTCTTATCTTCAGTCTTCTTCTCTTGTTCATAATTATCCAAATGACTGGGTTCCACACCCTCGAGGCCAGTCAAACCTTCCATCTGATCGCGTTTGGTTTGTTAATGCTAGGGTGATCTGGCAAAGCACTGGCTTGTACATCGGCCAGCCCCACCTGTCGTTTTATAGGCCAGCTCGCACTTAAAAGCATGTCCAAAGATCGAACTAGTGTGGTTCTTGCAAGCTACATTATTCATTGCAGTAATGGGCAGCAAGATGGTAATGTTAATTTGTGTTGTGGGCAATAATTATTTACCCCAGCAATTTATTGTTTGTATTGCTTCAGAATAATCGGCTAGGCTTGCTAATGAACATGAGCCTTTGGAATTTCTTTCTGAACTCTTACAAATAACAATATAAATAATTCTAGTAAATATGAAATTACATATTGGTGCAGAATGAACGGCAGCAAAGGAAAAGGAGAAGAGGTCCGAAATGCTCAAGTTAGGAGCTTGCTCAGATATTTAATGCTACTGTACTGGGCAGTGAGGGAATGAGCCTGGATAGGATAGTTTGAGACGAGGGAGCGCTACAACGGAGAGGGCGTCAGTGAGCAGCCTGCTGCGGACAGCGAACATTGCATCTGCTGCAGGTGGCTTTGCAGGCTGGCTCTAGTGCCCATACTGAGCGATTTACATCTACAGGAGTGCTGGGCTGCCTCTGGATCCTGCACACTGAAGAGAATCATTCACACGACTCCGTCTAAGTTGTGCTTTGAAATTGTTAGTGCGACTAAGTGGGAATAGAATGCTGGC